CGAAAAAGCGTCTAAAAGACAAAACATCTCTGAGGTCACTCTTCAGCTCTTTCGCACCTCCTGCCTTTCCCTCTCCATAAACCCGCTCGGCCTTTCCCCTATCACCGAAAAACATACGCATTAATCAGAACCGTTGAAAGAATCAGCAGCTATCCACTAATCTATCTATCTGTCCGTCTGTTCATCTCTTTATTCGTTCCCTTCTACTAATAAGGACATTCACAGTTCTTTTAAATTGATGTTAAGCGGCAAAAGAAGAAAGAGGGACAAAAAAAGGCATAAACAAAACAAAGAAGTCTTTGAGTTTTATGAAAACTCATGCAAGTGAGAAATCTGACTCCTTTTTCAATTTCTCGATAATTTTTCTTCCCTCTCTTCTTCTTCGTTTTACTCTTGTAGAATACGTTAAGTTAATGTGCTAAAGAATCTCAAGAATTAAGGAAAGAAGGCAGTCGTCAAGTTAAAAGAAATACAAAGAAGAGTTTAGAATCGTCTCAAGATGCAGCTTCTAATTTCGCGATCTCAAGTCCAACTTTTCACATGATAGCATAAATCATTTCTTCGAAAGTTTTTAGTTTTTTTGCTTTTGTTCTGCGAGTAGCAAGTCTAAAGTAAAGAGTCAAAAACACTCAACGAGGTTTCTCTGCTTAACCTTGTGCTGCTGATATTCTGTATTTCTTATTCTGTGTAACAAACTGGTGGATTTTATCAGCAAATAAACAGTTCCCGTTATGAATTGCTTGCAGTTATAATCAGTCATCAACGGCTACACGAAAGAGTAACCAAAAAAATTTTCTGACATTATACTATTTTATTCCCAGCTTCGTGGCCGAGAAAAAAATTGAAGTGCATTGCACCAGAGGATCTGAACTGATTAAGGAAAACTGAGATGAATTTAAAAAAAGATTTACAAGCATTTTATGAATAAACGGGAGGATGAACAAACAGATTAACAATAAAGAATGTGGAAATTTGACGTTTTGATTGTTTCTTATCCTTTTTTTTTACGCCACAGAAACTTCTTCTCTCCTGTATTTTATTATTATAATTTAGTAAATTTCTTAATCAGTAAAATTGTTGTGGGTTTTAGTGCTTCTTCGTCTTTGGTCTCTTTATCTTATGAAAAATTTCAAAAAAAAGTAATCTTATTGGTCTAAAGAGCAAGAAAAAACCATAAGTTTCTATGTTTTTAGTGGTGGCTAGCGAGTAATAAAGGAGACTTTAAGCAATATAGCATTATTAAAATGCCATAAAAAGCAGTATAGAATAGAAGCAAAACTTCTCTCATACAATGTTTGGCTGTTGCCAGCTTGGTTGCTGTATCAACGGTCTACCATACAACAGAAGCTTTAAATTTTTCTTGAAATTCTTACGGGTTCAGAAAAATTATTTAATGAGAAATTCGTAAAAATTGAAAACAGCATCAGAGAAAAAAATAATCAGAGAATTAACAAAAGAAAATATTGTCGACTTTAAAGAAATAACTTTTTTTTTGCTGTGCCCAAGTGACATCCGACTGTAATTATTTTTCCATTTCACAGCATCTTCTTCCTCTTCTTTTCACTTTTAATATGTCAGAGGAACAAACTGCTAGAAGAAACAGATCAGATACAATTATTTTTTGAACAATAAACAGCTGTTTATTCAGGTGAAATATCTGCCAAACAATAAGACTGGTGAAGAAAAGAAAACTTTTTTTTTCTGATTTTTACTTCTACTTTTTCTTACGCTTTTTTTTTTACTGTTATTGTTGTTGTTGTTGTTGTGGTTTTCACTTTTTCTTAAGATATATGAGCATCATTTAATGTCAAAAATCCGATAGAAGAACACAGTGGACAGAACAACAGGGCACTGAGACAAAAGCCGAATTAATAGGGAGGCTAACTGCAATCCCATTTGGGAGTTAAAGTCATTAGGTTACAACGCTTCGCTTCTTAGCATATCCAATTTTGAATATGTTTTTGGCATATTGAGACCTCGATTTTTCTTCATCTTTTTTCCATTCACTCTTCAGCTCTTTTCTATTCCCCCTTTTCATTCTCTTCATCTAAATTGCACCAATAATTGAGTATTCGAAACAATGGAAAATACTTTTGTTGCAAAAAAAAAAAAAAAAAAAAA